CGAACACCCCGCGGAGGCCCCCTCCCCCTCCCTCACCCTTCACTATTCGCCCGGGGGACGAGATTTACATGTTCGCGTTTCTCGCGTGGGGCGTATGTAGCAAGGTTCCTGGCAGAAATGCTCGACTACGTCGGCCTCCTTGCGCACGGCAATGAGGAGATGGTTATCTTTGCGTGGAACGCCTTTTCACAGTGGCAATGTCGACGGGCCAACTCGACGCCGGAAGGCAAAGAGGACAAGGAAAAGATGTACAAGTTTCTGAAGGGGTTCCGAGAAACATTTTCGCGGCCAATTCGGCGGATTCGGTTCCTTGGGCTCTTTGATTGCGTCAACAGCGTGCCGCGTTTCGAGACGGCGTGGATGCAGCGCGACAAGTTTCCGTACACAGCCCGGAGCTCAGCCAAGGTCATCCGACACGCTGTCAGCATCGACGAGCGACGCGCCAAGTTCAGACAGGACCTCATCTACCAAGAGAAGAAGAAATGCAAAAAGTCGAAAAAGGACGCCTTGGGCCACTCACTGATGGAGAAGAACCCGCTGAACGACAAGCTGCACGGATTCCAGGAGAAATACCGGCCGGGAAAGCGCGTGGCGCTCGATCCCAATGATATCCCAGGCAGCGCTGGTCGAGGCCGAGGTGCGCCAAACGAGCTCCTGCCCGATGACGCGGATCATCCGGTGCGGTACCGGAACCGCTCCAGGTCGAGGTCGCGCGCTACAAGCCGAGGCATGAGCGACAATACATCATTGGCCTCCCGGGCGCCCGTGCCCGACGCTGGTTACGATTCGGACGATGATGAGCAAGATATTGATGAAGTCTGGTTTGCGGGCGGACACGCTGACATTGGCGGTGGTTGGGATGTCATACCGGGCCAGAAGAGCTCCAGTCATGTGCCCCTCGTGTGGATGGTCAGGGAGGCGATGCGGGCTGGGTTGAGCCTGGATGTACGGCAGCTTGAAGAGATCGGATGCATCGAGTGTGCAGATGATCATGAGGAAGAGTGCGAGGCGGCGCACATGGACATTCCCGAGATCCACATCGATGCGCCGTCTCCGGGTGTTTCTTCGCCGGACGTTCTCGAGCAAGATGTGCAGGACAAGCCAGCTCAACCGGGCGATGCGAGGTTCAAGTTTGAGGAGATGCTTCGAGATGCCCACTTGTCCGACCTTCACGACTCGCTGCGGTTCGGGCGGGGCGTGCCGCGCCTTTCAGTCTGTGGTTGGCGCTTCATGGAATGGATGCCCTTCCGACGACTTGACCTGCGGCCTGACGGGTCATGGAAGCCGATCCGATGGCCGCTGCCCCGCGGAGAGGTGCGCGACATCCCAGAGAATGTACGCGTGCACGGAAGCGTGATTCGGAGGCTCGAGATGGATCCCACGTATCGACCAGGCAACCTCATTATTGGTGGGGGTGGTCGTGGCGTCAGGACAGCGTCCGAGAAGCATGGGATTGGCGAATGGATCTGTGTCAAGGGCAAAGGGGACCCGGTGGAGGAGATTTGGGTGAGAAAGAAGAAGAGCGATACGGGGGAGTCATGAGATGAAGATTTCCGGAGACAGTCGAAGAATGGTTGGGAGAGGCAAGCAAGTGTTGGGATTGAGGCTGATGGAGATGCTTGCTCTTGCCTCTTGCTCGCTCTTGCCTCTTGCTTGCTCTTGCTTGCTCCTGTTTCTTGTGTGGAAGGATCCACCGTTGTTATGCTTAGCGCACCTACCCCGGGCAGCAAATACGCCGCAGCCGTGTTGGCATCGGACATTAAGCTTCCAGTGCCGGCAGCGACCGCCTACTCGATCCGTAGCTGACCATCGATGTGCGCGCCACAATCTGACCCTGGTGGGCACCCCGCAGCAACAATCCAATGGCAACGGGGTCGATCGCCGGGATGTGAGCACGCAATCGACCGAGATGGACACCAAGAACGACGGATACGGGAGGTGGCAGGAACAGGCCTTGCTGCTTTAGTGCTGATGGTAGGGCACTCGATGCATGTGGCTCAGCTGCACAACAATTTTCAGGTCGTTGCCTTCATTCACTTCACAACTCACGACTCCATCACTTAGAGACCTCAAGGACGGTCCGTCCCGAAACCGAGAATGGATCGCAGCTATCCACAGAGTGGAGAGGGAGTACTGAGATGATTAACTTGAACTGACTTGTTCGTTCATTGGCACTTTGATAGCCACATACTTGAAAATGGGACATGAACAAACGATCAATGGTGCAAAACAAAAACATACAACATCAGGGATTCGCTGGTGGTCACCCACCCAACTACTAGTCCGACCCTTACTGGCTTATCTATGGGAGAGCGGACGGGATCCCGAGTTCTCCAGTAGGTATGGTCGTATGTGTTTGAGAAGTAGTGTGCTGCAGCTTAAGACAGGCAAGCATTGAAAGTCCTGATCCTCCAGAGGCGTCACTGATCTGATCGAGGAAAATCCCTCTACTATGCATAACAAGGGGAATCCAACGCTCATGCTCCCAAACACAGCCTATACTAACTCCCAAACAGCCCACCAAGACCCTTGGCCATGTTCTTGATGGCCATAGCTAGTTGTTCTACCGCATGATTGTTTTGTCTGGTTTCACTTTTTTTCATCTTGGCCCGGAGAAGGATACCCCCGCTGCCTTTGAGTTTGCCGTTGAAGGGCATCGGTGCGAAAAGACGTGGTATCCTTGACACTAGCCATGAAATTCCATGGCAAAATCGAGTCAAGTAGCCTGTATGGCCTGTGTGGCTGAGCTCTGACAAGGCATGATCCTCTATAAAGCGGCGAGGGCGCTAATCTTTCATCGTGCACATCACTGGCCAGGGTTCAGGCTAGCGGCTTGGCGGGTCCTCCTCCCGAACCTACGTGCCTCGACTGATTGACGCCCGCCTAATTCCACCCATTCTTGCTGCCAAACACAGCCCATCAACAACAGCAATGTCGAAGTCTGCCTGGGCCCCCGCGAAGAAAAAATGCGCGTGCAGCATTCAAACTGTGTTGACCTGCCCTTTATGGAAGCTCCTTGATAGGCCCGGCTGATCCTTCGACGCATGACTCTTCCCGCGTCGAGCAGGGATGACATCAGAAACACCACCTTGATCCTGGTCTCGCGCCCCAACTTGGGCTGGAGCAACGACTGCTCACCACTCACGCTTCTTCCTTCACGGGCTGCTGGCTGCTGACTGCTTCCGCGCAAGTTCTCCTGCTGCATAGCGGGTGGCTGTTGGCTGTTTTCTCGAACCCTGAGGACGGCGAGCCCCCAATACTGAATCTTGCGCAACGTGGCACAAGGATGGCGTGCCGAGAAGCTCTCATTCGTGTCCGAGTATATATGATGACCGTTGCGCCGTCGCCTGGTCGGAAAATGTCCAGATCTGCTCATATTTCTTGCGAGCATCGTTATTCGCACAGCTCAAGTAGCTGCCGCCTCTGCCCACACGGGTCTTACGAGGTAATTCTGCGCTTAGGTTCCCCTCTCTCCGCGTCACCTACAACCACCATCGTGTCCCTTCCCCGTCGAGTCGACAACCCCGATCAGCCATGGCCGACAAGAAAATCACCCCCGAGCCGTCGGGGCTGGAGCCTGGTCCGCCTGCTTACAACTCGGACGAAAGCGATGGCAGCACCAGACACCGTGAAGTCTATGCCTACACTGAGGATCGCAAGATTGGTATCACAGGCGCTGTCTTTCTCATCTTGAACAACATGATCGGTACCGGCAGTATGTTGTTCGATCGGCACGTCGCTCCATGATCTCGAGCTTACCAGTCCCAAGTATTTTCAACACCCTCTGGCGTCTTCGCGGCGATGGCATCAGTCTCATGGCTCTCATGCTCTGGGTCATTGGCGGAATCCTCACAATGTGTGGTATTAGTGTGTTCCTCGAATTCGGTCTCGCGATCCCCCGATCTGGAGGCGAAAAAAACTATCTCGAGCGGGTGTACCGTCAGTGACTCTGCCTACCCCCCGTCGCGGAAGCAAAACTTGGTCTCTTACACTCACCAGGTCACCCCAAATACCTTGCGACGTGTGTTCTCGCCTCGCAGATGATCCTGCTTGGCTTCTCCTCTGGAAACTCCCTCGCTTTCGGTCGATACGTCCTCTTCGCTTCCGGTAGCGAAAGCCCTGATGGCTGGGCCGCTCGGGGCATCGCCGTCGCCTGCGCCACCTTTGCGACCTTTCTTCACGCCGTCGCGCCCAAATGGGGACTGCGCCTTATCAACGTCCTCGGTGTCTTCAAAGTCGTCATCCTACTGTTCATTGTCTTCTCGGGCTTTGCCGCTCTCGCCGGCCACCGCCGCGTCCCTGATCCCGACAACTTCAGCAACGCGTTCCGCATCGAAGAAGGAAATGGATACGGCAACGGCGGTGCCTACGGCTATGCGACCGCACTGCTACGTGTAGTGTACAGCTACAAGGGATGGGAGAACGCCAACTACGTCGTCGGCGAGCTGAAAGACCCCAAGCGGACGCTTTCTATTGCGGCGCCCCTCGCCGTCGTCGGCGTGACGATCCTCTACGTCCTCGCCAACATTGCTTACTTTGCCGCCATTCCCAAGGGCCAACTCGCGACGTCTGAAGCCCTTGTGGCTGGCGTTTACTTTCGGAACATGTTTGGTGACAACGCGGGCACGCGCGTTCTGCCGGTTTTTGTCTGCATCTCCAATCTTGGCAACGTCCTCGCTGTCAGCTTTGCCCACGCCCGTCTCAACCAGGAGTTTGCCAAGGAGGGTCTCCTCCCCTTCAGCCGCTTCTGGGCCTCGAACCGGCCCTTCAACGCGCCCGCCGCCGCCCTGTTCCTGCACTGGATCGTCACCATCATTGTGCTCCTCGCGCCGCCGGCCGGCCCCGCCTACAACTTCATCGTCGATCTGTACACCTACCCCGGCGCCTGGGTCCTCGCGTTTGTCTGCGCCGGCCTCATCTACCTGCAGTGGACCGAGAGGGAGAACTGGTCGTCGCCGTGGCACACGTACTTGCCCATTTCGGTCTTGTATCTCCTGGCCAATGCGTTCCTGTGCATCGTGCCCTTTATCCCGCCGACGGGCTCGTCGGATCCGGATGGATACCCGTACTATGTTTTCCCCGTCGTGGGCGTTGGCGTTTTGCTGCTCGGTGCCTTTTGGTGGCTGTGCTGGACCAAGATTTGGCCATCCATCGGAGGGCACAAGATTGTGGCGGAAAGGCAGTACGACGAGCAAGGCCACGAGGTCATCAGGTACAAGAAGGTTAGCACGCGAGGGCAGGTCGGACCGGTCAATTAATTGTCGTCCACTGCATGATTGACTGGTTGACGGTTATCATTAATACAAATTCAACATGTTATTATTTCTACAAGTGCATGGCTACGCTGCTATCTGTCGATGCTCTAGGCACGACCCTGGGAGGTGCCGTCCTCAGGACCAGGGAGACCCTCCTCATCGCCAGGCTCACGGTAGGAGCCTTCGGGCTTCGCCGAGCGTGTGCGCTCATCGATTATGTTGTCAGGGTTGATGGCGTCCTTGTCGTCGCGTTCTGGTCGTGTTAGCAAGCGCATGGTCACTTCGCGGCGAGCGACAACATACCAAGTTGCGCATCCGAATCGGCAGTGTTCTCATCAATGGGGTCCTCGATCTTGGCGTCGTCGGACTGGACAGAGATGGGCTCACGGGCCTGGCGCGAGACGTACTCGTCGTCCTTGACGTCGACGCCGGCATCGTTGTTGTAGCTGTCAGACATGATGTGGGTTGCAAGGGTGTTTGTTGGTTTGCCTGATTGATTAACTGACTAAACACTAGCTGATGTGTTGATTAGGATGAGAGTTGGTGACTATCTTGACGGTCTGGGAGACGTTCGATCGCTGTTCATATACTCACTATCACATGTGAGCCAACGCTCACCGTGGTGCATCGCTGATGATGCTGGTTGACTCAGATTCCGTTCATCGACCTGTCTATGACGCCGTGATGACACTCAGTGTTCTGTTGCGATTATAGTCTATTGTGTGTAGTCTATTGTCACACTAACACCAGGAGGAAATGCTCCTAGGTCGTCAAACGACATGATCCTATTTCACGAGGCATGAATCAAACTAGCCTGCAGATTTGAATCGCGCCGATCAACCTACCGATTGGGGTCGTGTCCATGATGCGTCGATGTTGCCGTTCGGTGAGCGTTTCACCGACACCAAGTAGAGCCTCACCGAGCACCACACTCGCCGGTGTGACGTCGGTTACATTTCCAAGAGGCAGCCGGTACAAGGCGCCGAGCAATGCTCAGCCTCTCCACATTTACATCACTCGTTGCCGAGTGAAACGTAGCCGTCTTTCGAGTCTGCCCTGGCACCAGAGGGGCCAAGATCCCCCCGTCGAATGGGCTGTCTTGCTGGTCATGATGTCTCTTAAGACTGTCATGGGGGCCCGGATCGGATCCATCACCCATCCCTTCGCACCAGAACTGATCCCGTCGATTCGTGACGTCTACCACTTTGAAGTTTGAACACGTCTGCTCGTCAAAGCCACCAAGCCAACCATTCTAGTCCGTCCACCTTAGCCGCCTACCTAGCGTCCATCTATCGAACCCCCCCCCCCCCCAGCGTCTAAGCTCGGCCCAAGAGATCGGCCTGGACCTTTCAATCCGCCGATGTGGCCCGCTCTATCCCATATCGCCGGCTCAAAAATTTAGGGGGGGGAACCCCTAGAGCGACGTCGCAGCAAGTTGAGTCAATGACGCGCCACCCTACTCTCCTCAACACCTAGATCATTCCAAAGACACCATCGCCATCGCCTTTCAACAGCAGCTTATCTCATCGGTGAATATCCTATAACTTTAACTGATACTCCGTTTCTGCGGCTCGCCTTTTGCGCTATCAGAAACACTCAACAGCATCAAGTCGACCGATGACTATGCCGAGGCCCTTGCACCGATTGCGCGCATCCTTTTTGCA